TTCCTGGACCACAACCACGCATCGTGGACGGTTCAACGGGTCATGCACCACAGGATTGGACAAGCTTCGACATCACGCAGAGCTCACGCGTGTTACGAAATGGCGATGCATCGCAGATACGACGCGAGCTACGCAAACGCCGTACGCTGTTGGCACGCTACACGGATTCAAATTGAACAAATTTAACAGCAGTCCGGCGCCCGAGCAACGTCACGCAGGTGATCGCCGGCGCAATGGACACATGCCGCGAATTCCGGGCCTGGGCGAGCAATGCGTCACAGACCATACCTTCGGTCGAGCTGGTCACGATGTCCTCTCTCTCGTCTATAGCCAGTACCCGAGCTGGAACACGATCGACAGGACCGACAGGTGTCACGCAGCACGACTGCTCGAGGGAGATTCCACGCACTTTAGGGATCGATTTTCTGAGCGCTTGTGATATGCCTTCCTCTCGCGTTGGATATCCATCTTCGGGCTCTTCAAGAACTTGATTGTTGATGGCGAGCGCGGCATATTCGGAGCCGAACACCGGCCGTTCGTCGACCGACACGGCATCGCGGTCCGAGTCCGAGCCACAGATCGGCACGTACGAATGATCGAACGACGCCGTGCTACCCTACGACATGCCACGCACTGCATTGACAAACAGCTACGGCATGAAGGATTACGGGCCAGCTTGCCCGACCTCCTTTTCCAGGGCCACGCGCGCAGGCAGTTCTCTCACATCTCACGGAGTTGCCACGCCATGTAACACCAGGCGTGGCCGACGACCGCGGACGTTGCCAGACATTTTGGCATTCCCAGACGACGCTGCCAGGACAGCGCGCAACTCGCACGGGCTACGAGATATTGTTTTACAACGGATCGCGGAGGCTTCGGCCATCTCACGCATAGACGGGGCCTCGAAGACAAACGCCACAGTCCCGGGACAGACCATGGACTACAGGCCAGTCGAGCTGGTTGCCTTCTACCGAGCTCCATCCACCAAGGACGCGAGCGGGCGGGGCGGCACAGCATGGCAGAGCGCCCGTCAACCGAGGCGCCTGGCAACTGCGCCGCCTCGGCGACGCGCGAAGATTGATGGACTTCGGCGGTCTGGTATACGACGACACGAGTCAACCCGCGACGCCCCGCGGCCAGGCATGGATGGCGGTCAAAAAATGCACGTCGTTAGCTCAGCTGCGAAGGCGACCCAACGCATCGGTCTTACCGACACCGGCACGGCCACCGCCATCCTTGCGACCGGACGCCGAGTGGCGTTCGGCCTCGAGTACCATGCCAGGAACTCGCTCAAACTCAGCAGGTTCGCGGCCCCCCAAATTGCAGGGTCGCGGCCGCCCAGAGAGGCCGCAGCCTGGAACGCAGTCTGCTCGCGGCCTTGGCCCTCGCCCTCACCGCGCGGATTGACCGGCGCGTCTACGCGGTGGCGCCCCAGCGCCGCGCGGCATCTCCGACGCTCCGCCACGCGCGCAAGCCTAATGCACTCTGGCGAGGTGGGCTTAGACCACGCAAGTGGGAATCCACTATCCACCGATGCGTTGCGCAAGCGAATTAGAGGCACGCAGCGACGCGGCATTCAGAGAGAAAAGAAGATTGGAAGAAAGAAAGAAGAAGGAAGAAGAAGAAGGAAGAAGAAGAAGAAGAAGAAGGAGGCGCCGACGCTGGACGGGCGCCACGCCCCTGCGCGCGGGCGCCACGGGCGCGGACGCCCAACGGGCGTTCGCTGGTCGACGAGCGGGCCACCCGCTGCACCAGCAGCGCGGGGCTCTCAAGACGGCGACGCGAAGCACCTCCGCCCGCGCGCGAGGCGATGGCCGCGATCAGATCGACGGGCCACGGCCTCGCTCTGGGCGCCACGCTCCACGACGCGCCCAGGGGCCCGCGCGGCCCCGCGGCGGCGCGTCACCAACGAAACGGCCCGCAACCCCTCGCGCTGCAAATAGCTGCGCCTGGACCCCACGGGCGCGGCCGCGGCCGTCGCGGCTACCAGGCCAAATCGCCCGGCAGAACATTCGCCGTTGCCGCGCGCTCTGGCTCCGCGACATCCATTGCCCAGATCAACCGCAGGCCCTGAGCTGGGAAGACACGCGAGACGCGGGCGCCGACGGGCTGGCCAAGGGCGGCATCGGCGGGCCCGCGCTCCACGACGTAGCCGGCAGCTTTCGCCAGCGGCCACGCGCGCCGCGCACTGCCACCCTCAATGCGGCGAGCAACCTCGCCCGGCGCGTCACCAACGAAACGGCCCGCAATTCCTCGCGCTGCAAATAGCTGCGCCTGGACCCCACGGGCGCGGCCGCGGCCGTCGCGGCTACCAGACCAAATCCCCCGGCAGAACATTCGCCGTTGCCGCGCGCTCCGGCTCCGCGACATCCAGTGCCCAGATCAACCGCGGGCCCCGAGCTGGGAAGACACGCGAGACGCGGGCGCCGACGGGCTGGCCAAGGGCGGCATCGGCGGGCCCGCACTCCACGACGTAGCCAGCAGCTTTCGCCAGCGACCACGCGCGCCGCGCATTGCCACCCTCAACGCGGCGAGCAACCTCGCCAGCCGTCGCCTGGCTACTAGCGTCTAGAAATTTGCGGGTCGTTTCGCGCCCAATCCCCCAAGGCCAACCATCCTTCCCCACCCCCGGCACGCGCGGGAGGTTCGCCGTCATGCACGCCGCGGTTGGGGGGCGCGCTGCAGCGCGACAGCCCGGGCACAGCTGCGCAGAGGCGCGCGGAGAACGCGCGCGCGCGCGGGAAGCCCGGGATGAGCCGGGACAAAAGACAGAAGCCAATGCTTCCGCCGCCGCTTTTCCCACCCGCAGGCCCGCGGGCCCGCGAGCGCGCGGGCGGCGCGCGCTGCCGCGCGCTGGCGGCCGCCCGCCGCCACGCCCGACGGCCGCGCGCCGACGGGGGGGCCCTCGGCTTCCGCCGCCGCCACCGCGGCGGCCGAGGACGGACCGGCCAGCGCCCCCAACGGAGGCGCCCTCTTCACGCGAGGCCCGTCGCGCTCAGGGGCCGCCCGGCACCTCGCGAGCGCGAGCGGCCCATGACCCCCACGCCTGGCCGCCTGAAGACACGGCCCTCACGCACGACGCGGCCGCCAGGGACGCCGCCCGCGACGCCGCCGCCACCGCCACGTTCGCGACGCTGGTTGGAGGAGCCAACGCAGTTGCACGCGACGCCCGCAAGCCAGAGGAGCACGGGGCACCTACGGGCTCGAGCCCTGTCTCGCAGTCACCCCCCGTCGCCCGCGCGCCTTCGCCCGCCCGCGACGCCCGGCCCCGCGCGCGTGAACCCGACCAGCGAGGCCGCGCCAGCTGCACCTCCATGGGCGCCTCTTCCGCCTGAGATACCGCCCACGGCACTGGGCGAGGAGTCGACACAGCGGCCACCGCACCGCGCGGTTGACACAGATGCGCGCGCCTTTCTTACGGACTGGCACGCCAGCGACGCGGCGCCAGATTCGGCGGCGCGGAGATGCCTGTTCAGCGGCACTGTCATAGAGCCGATGACGCGCTGCCTTCACTCGCGAAGCTCGTCGCGCAGCAGGATTAGCGACCGGCGCGAGGCCGACCCTTGAAGGCGGGGCCTTCTCGGCGACACAGAGTTGTTTCAGGCGTGGTCGTCGCGGTCGCCTCTGGAACGGCTCGAGCGCCGCAAGTATTGGCAGTTGGTCGACTTTGGCAGCGGGGCAGGCCACGGCCAGGACCCGCCCCGCCCTTCCCCGCGGACGAGGCCGCCGAGGAAAGGCCCGCCAGCAAAAGCGGCCCTCGCAAGCCCGCCCCGACGTCGCCGCGCCCCCCGCCACCGCGCATCGCGCACGCGCGCCGATCACGGCCCCGCGTGACTCCCCACCGACGCGCCCGTCGCATCCGCCCGAACAGCAATGGGACCAGGAGGTGGCGCACCGCTGCGACGCAGCCCTCTGTTCTGGCAGCGCACCGGCAGTCGCGACAGGCAAGAGCAAGGGCAAGAACAATAAGAAGGACCAAAGCAAGCCCGACGTCAACAGGCACAATAAGAAGGTTCGCCGCGGGGGCTAGAAGGCCGAGCGTCGGCGAACGGCCGACGATGCGGCGCGCGCAGCAGCCGACGGCGACGACCACAAGTCCTCGACGGGCAGTGCCGCCCCGAGCACGCCCAGCGAGGAGGTGGGGGCGCAGCGAGGCCGCAGCGGCCCCCAGCCTCAGGACAGCGACCGAGGTGGTGAACCCGAGGCGATCGTGCAAAAGGGAATTGCGCATCCCTCATGGTCATTCTCCTTCCCTCACCTTCTTCATCCTGCACGGTCAAGGCGTCGTCGCACTTCAATTTCGCCTCCCCACGCGACCCCGGGCCACCCGCCGTGCCTGATTCTCGCAACAGGCTTTCAGGCGCTGTCGTCTGCGACCCAAGGGTCACCAAACGGACACAGAAGCGGCTTGGCCGACCTCACATTATTTCTACTCGCGCGAGCTCCTCCAGCGCCGACCTTAAGAGCACGCGAGCTCTCCGACAGCGGGCGAGCCCGCCTCCCGCCATGCCGCGCGGAGCCAGACCAAACAGCGATTGGGCACCCATGCTACATTGGGAACGCGCATGGGGCTGGACAGTTATACTTCCGCTTTCTCTATTCCTGCATATCCGCCGCTGCTGTTCGATCGCCCGCAACCCATACTCAAATAGGATGCTCTGCCGCCGTCTGGCCTAAGCGCTGGCGCGCACTACGCTGTATTGATGAGTTGAGTAGCCTGCGATCTACATCTTGTTGCCGCAATGCTTTCTAGCGTCAAGGCTCCAATCCCCGCACTTATGGTTACTCCTCCTGCTCCTCCTCCTCCTCCTTCTCCTCCTCCTCCTCGTCCTCTTCCTCCTTCTCCTCCTCACCCTCCCGCTCTTCAGTCCTTGCCATCCTCATCCTCCTTCCTCCCTTGCATCATCTGCCTCCCCAGCCTCCTTCTCTCCTCCCCCTTTAACGCCCACTCTCGCTCGCAGCGTCGGCTCGCAGCCCCAGGGGGGGCCCGCGCTGGCGTCATGGCGCGGGTGCGGGCGAGTGCGTTTGGGGCGACCCGCGAGCAG